CCCCAAAACCCCAAAACCCCAAAACCCCAAAACCCCAGCCTCTGGAATAATTATTGAAAATAAAATATGAAGAAAGCAGTTATACAGTAATAGTCTTCCTTATTTTAGGCTGAGACAGAATTATGAGAAGATGAACCCTCAAGGGAAAAGAAATAACTCTCACAAACAAAGCTTACTCAGATCTACTCCTTTGAGATCTGAAAAGTAGGAATTTCTAAATTCTTATCAAATAGTTCGGTAAAGGAGAGAATTGCCTCTGAAGATTATGCTAATAACACTCTTCAGAGCTTTGCTATAAGGCCAATTAATCGAAAATCTGAGGATAAGAAGGCTATAAAGGAGCAAGATATGAACAACCAGTATAAAAAGTAATTCTCAACTACTTAAAATCTAGGCTAGCTCAAAGCCCGTCACATATGAAAAGTATGGATACAGAGCATGACTCTTTTCATCAAAGGAATAGGTAAGTTATCCTAAACAACCTGAGGCCATGGCTGATTTGATATTTTAGCTACTTGACCCTTGGAAAGCAATACCTCCTCTCATTTAACAAAGAGTCAGAGGGGATGCATATTAACGCAACGAAGTTGGGCTCCTCTAAGGATTTTCAAAACAGTATGTCAGCCAAGAATATTCCAGAGAATTCAAGTTTTAAATAAGTCAAAATTCTTTCAAGATCAACTGAAAAATCTTGAAAAGGGATCTGTCATGAAGATAAAAGATAGGCTAAAGATTCTCAGCTGGTAATTTTCTCATAAAAATTAGTGCACCGGATGAGATCCAGAAAAAGTATAAGATGATAGCTGCAAAGAGGCTTCCGATTTATCAGCCAGATCCTCGTGAGAAGTATGGATATACCAAATATTTTGACAAGACTAAGCAATACAACACTACAAAGGAATACACCAGATATCTGGAGCAAAGAATCAGAGAGGACGAGCTAGAGAGACCTCTAAGGCTGAACACTGGGAATAGCTCCCAGTGGAGCCAGATAGAGTCTGTCAAGCAAAAAGAGTTGCGACTTCAACATGGAGTTGTATATTCTGATTACAAGAATAAGAAGCCCACTCAGAGTATGGTATAATTTCATTTATGATAGAACACAAGCATCCTTTTAATATCAAGGTAAAATCACAGATCTCAAATGACTTTTTAAGAGAAGTTGATAAGAACTTACATCCTGAACAAAGAAAGATCAGCGGAAAGTACTTTGCAAGCTCGCACTACTCCCCTTTGGAGTTGCGTCAACTTCAGATGGAGTCGAGACTTCTCGGAGAGAAGATAAGAGGGAACTCTTTACTAAAGAAATTGATGAGAGATTCACATTTCTTATCAGGTATGTCATCTCACAACACTTTAGATAAGGTAAACCTTGACTCAGAGAGATCACAGCTGGATTATCATCTCAGCTTTGATTATACCAAAGAAATTCCAAGAGATTTGTATTATAAAGAAAAGGCTAAAATTAATATCGAAGGTAAAAAGAATAAGCAGTATATACGAATTAAGTAAATCTCCATTTTTGACCCACAGACAGAGGAAGCCAAGCATTATTGATAAGAGAAGGACCGAAAGCAGTGCAGCTTACAGGGACAAATTCAGCCAGAACAAGACAAATGAGTACTTTACTAATTTATCAGTAGGGAAATTAAGGAAAGATGCAAGACCCAACTTAAAGATCCACAGCCTTTGCCTATCAAGTATTATTAAAGAATGATTGTTTGATAGGAACAAAGATATCAAAGAAGAAATAAAAGACTCAAAACCAATCAAGAAATATCTTAAATAAAATGATCCAACTGAACTTAATGAAAGGTATAAAGAACCCAGAGGATGAACTACAAAAGGAACGGGATAAACAACAACAACTTCGTCTGAAAGCTCGACAAAAGTAACATGTACCTTACTTATTTCTAGGTTTAATTTAGTTTCCCAGAATTTCAAAAGTATTGCCAAGAATCAGAAATATAAATACATAATTGCAGATTTTAGCAGCTCAAGGACATCATCTTAAACTTGGGAAACAACAGTGAGTTGATCTCTAGAGTAATGAAAACGAGGCCTGATTGGGAGGAAACTCCGTACTATGATAGCTTATTCAACTTCAAATGGCAGCAATTATCCAAAGGGATAATGTTTGATCTCCTATCTTCCAATGGCACTAAGCAAATAGTGAACCATTATGAGAATCATAAGTGTATTACTACCAAAAATGGGCTGTTTAAATGCCTCAGTGATTATTGTAGCGAATACGTGTTTGATTATGTCCCCCTCACATTTATCATTGAAAGTAATACTGGAGAATTCAAGAAAAACCTTGCTACTTTTCAGGCAGTTTTTAGAACTTTTGATGAGAATAAGCACAAAGAAGCTACTTTAAGTGAACACCAAGAAATGATGGGACGTATCAATGATAGTCTCCCCTCTATTCCTTTGAATAATAAGAAGTCAACCAAAAATGTGAAATTTTGATGAAATGAAACACATTTTAATGGCTATAACCTCTGGTTTCTGAAATGTACTCAATTTAACAGAGGAAAAGGCATTTACGTATTTAATTCACTTGACCAACTAGTCTCCTTAATAGATGGGATGGACAAAGGATTACCTAAAACTGAAGCAAGTATGATCATCTCGAACAAAGACCAGAAAAAGAAGTCTAGCACCCAACATCCTGAGGTATGAAGTCAGAAAATAAAGAGCTCAACCTTTGTGATTCAAAAATATATTGAAAAACCTTTGTTGATCAATGATAGAAAATTTGACATCAGAGTATGGGTACTCCTCACCCAAGATCTAAAGGTATGGCCATCTGTTACTTCTTTAGGTGTATTTCTTCAAAGAAGGGTACCTCAGGACCTCCTCAGAAGCATTCTCCCTCTCAGAAGAGAACATTGACAAGGAATATGTTCACCTCACTAATAATGCTGTTCAGATAAATTCTACTAATTATGGTAAATTTGAGGACGGAAACCAAATGAGTTTTAATGATTTCCAAGATTATTTAACTGAGCATGATCCCGATTTGGTCGAAAAGACCTTAAGAAACCTAGATATCCCTGAGGGAGAAGAAGTTGACCTCAAGAGTTACATTCTGAGTGAAATGAAATAAACTTGTGGTTCTAACCTTCCTCAGCTCGAGAGAGAATTTTCTCAATAAATCTAAAAACAGCTCATTTGAAATATTTGGATTCGACTTTATTGTAGATTGCAAGATGAAATTATGGCTAATCGAGGTGAATACAAATCCATGTCTTGAAGAATCTAGTGAGCTGTTAAAGTCCTACCTCCCTCGAATGATAGACGATGCATTTAAGCTGACGATTGATGTGATATTTAAAAAGAAAATAAATTTGCCTGACCTGCAAAGATCCAATGAGGATATCCATGAAGGTGCATCCCAAGAATTTCCTGTAGAAGGTCATCCTGATGACCAAAATTTATGGGAATTATTATTGTAATAATTCATATCTCTCTTGGGGTTTTGGGGTTTTGGGGTTTTGGGGTTTTGGGG